AAAAAAAAAAAAAAAAAAGTAAAGGTCCCAGAATGGGTCACCATGAGGGACTGGGCTCCTTTGGGGTCTGCACATGGAAGCCAATTTTAGAGATTCATTCTGTTTAGCAAATATTTTTTGGGACCCCTCTCATGTGTCAGGCCCTCTGCCTGCCTTTGGAGGTGAGGAGATAAAATCGGAGTAAGTCTCTGTCTTCAGGTGGTTCATAAGGGTGGTGAACAGTTGTGTGAACAAGAGTTACCAGGGAGGACAAGGAGGCTATGGGTCAAGTGAAGTGGAGGTGTGGGAGGGAGGGACAGCATGTGGGTCTGTCTGAGAGAATCAGCAAAGTCTTCCCAGAGGAGGCAACCTCTAACCAGGGTTTTGAAGGATGAATAGGAGTTCACTGAAAGTCCAAGGGAAGAAAAGCCATTCCAGAGCAGAGCACAAACAGCATAAGCCAGGGCACAGAAACAGCCTGGTGTGCACAGGACAGGAGGGGAGAGTGATGGGTGCTGGCTGATGACAGGATGCCACTAGGGAGTGGCAGCAATACGGGGGGAGGCTTGGATGGGACCGGATCACCGAGGAGCTTGTTGGCCATGCGAGGAGTCCTGTAGGTGATGGTGGCACCACGGAACTCAACCTGGGCCTCCTCAAGGTATCATGTGGGGCCCTGCCATGCTGCTACTCTACTGGGTGTCGGTGGCTTGAGGGCCTCCGAGCAAGCGGCCGGCTGGAGGATCCCAGGGCAGGCCTCACCCTGCTTCCTGCCCTGCATCTCACTTCCTGTTTCACTGACTTCTTTAAAGTGGCCAGAAGGGAACATTAAAAACCCTCCTCCTAAGGCAGGGCTAGAGGGAGAAGAGAGCCCATCTGGGCTGGGCCTATGCCTGAGGGCTCCATTGGCCCCTTCTCTGTTCCTTTGCTCTCTTGACTGTATTTGTTAAACACTGATGCTGTAAGTATCCTCTGAGTATCTAGTGACATTGATGGTCTCAGAAAGAGGCCCTGCAGGATGAATCATGGAGGGGAAGAAGCACTCCCAACAGCACGTGCCAAGGCATGGAGGTGGGGAAAGAAAGGATGGGGTAGCTGTGGACATGAGGAAGGGGGTGCAGGGACTGGTGGTTGGTGCACTGGATCCTGCTAGGTTGGGAATCTGGACAGCTCCCATGGGCAGCAGAGACGCAGCAGAGGTCCGTGTGGCGGGAAGCGACAGGCTCAGATTCGTCTCCTCCACGGCAGAAGGTGGTGCTGAGGCAGCGAGGGACCCGACTTCCACTCTTACTGGCTCTGACGTTAAGTTCCAGGCCTTGGAGGAGGCTGTGCTTTAGGGACTAAGGCCTGAGCCTGAGCGTAGCTTGCATCTTTCTCCCAGTCCTGGGGGACACAGCGCATGGGATAAGGCAGGACACGGCTCTTCTTCAGAAAATTCCTCTGGGCCCTGTTTATCTGGAATACCTTTTTTGGTTTGTTTTGGTAACTCTGTTAAGCTTAGTAGCTTTTTTTGTTTACTTAGTAATAAGTTTTCTTTAGAGAGGTCTGGACATGAGCCACTACAGTGATTACAGGACTGGAAACAAGGACTGAGAAGGGGCAGAGGAGTAAGGGTTTTTTTAGCCAGAAAAGAAGAGCCTCAGCAGGGCTGCCAGGGGAGGTTGTGCAGAATGTTCACTGCACAAGGGTACCAGTGGAGGGGGCAAGGGTGGACTGAGATCCAGAGGAAGGGCTGTGCCTTATCTCAAGCCTGATGCCCTGGTGCTGAGATGTGTCTGTGGGGTCGGGTGGTGGGGAAGGGGTGATTCTTTTTCTTAGTCCAAAGAGAAATCTGGGCTCCACCTCCCGTCCTTCGAGGGTGGGACTGTGCAGAAGGAACACCATTTAAAGTTCATATTTTAC